CCCTGCTTACCCGAGCTAAATGCCGGGGTCGGTCTGGCAGCTATTCCGGGATCTGAGCGCGGATTCGGACAAAGGAGGCGTCTTTCACCAACCACATCACATGGAGCCCCAAAGCACGAGCATGGCCTCCCCCGGCTGTGACCTCAAGGCCGAGCCCCTGGTGACCTCAGGGAGAGTCCCCACCCCCACCGCCCTTGCGCCCTGGGGCAGGGCGGGGGGCGTGGAGAGGGGGCGGAATCGGGGCGGTCCCGGGAGCGCCCAGCCCGCTCCGCCTCCGCAGCGTTGACAGCTGCCAGCCGCCGGGAGATCAGCTGTTGGAGATCAGAGGAAGAGGAAGGGGCGGAGCTGCTTTGCGGCCGGCCGCGAAGCAGTCAGCCGGCTACAGAGAAGGGTAATCGGGTGTCCTCAGCGCCGCCTGGGGCCCTGAGGGCCAGCTAGGGCCCAGGCCGGTGGGGACGGGACAAACGAACTAGCCCCGTGTAGGAAGCCTGACAATGCCCCGCTACGGAGCATCACCGCGCCAGAGTCGCCCCAGGTCCGGCCGGGAGCAGGGACAAGACAGGACCTTCGGAGCCCCCCGACTCCTTTGGATGGGCCTGGTACTGGTGCTGGCGCTGGCTCTGGCTCTGTCTGACTCTCTGGTTCTCTGGCCGGCAGAGGCTCATCCTCTTCCTCCCCAAGGCCATCCTGCCAGGTTACATCGCATAGCGCCCCGTCTCCGAGATGTCTTTGGGTGGGGGAACCTCACCTGCCCAGTCTGCAAAGGTCTATTCACCGCCATCAACCTTGGGCTGAAGGTGAGCGCTGAAGGGGTTGCAGTGGAGGAGGCCGAAGGGAGTGCTGGGGCTGGGGGCTGGGGCTGATGCTGGTGCCCTGGGGTCAGAATGCATCCCTGATGGAGAGGGTGGCATCTACAATCCGTCACTGAGTTTGCTCCCCTTTGGGGACACCTATGGCTACATGCCACCACCACCCCATTGTGACCTTTGTGAAGTAAGAAAATAATGCAGACAGTGCCTGAGAAAGTCAGCTTGTCAAGCAAAGGCCTCATGCCACAGGCTGCTGAGCTAAAGAGGAAGTGATGGCCTGGTGCTGCCTGAGTTAGAGGGTAATATCTGGAAGGCAAAGGTGTGCACTGAGCTTTCTTCACCATGGTGCACTGAGTCCTGCCCAGCCCCAGTTTGGAAATGGAAGCCCAAGGGGTGTTGGCCAGGGGTTGGCCTGGTTCCTCTGCTCTGCCTGATTTCTCACCATGCGCTCCTCCCACTGCAGAAGGAACCCAATGTGGCTCGCGTGGGTTCCATGGCCATCAAGCTGTGCAATCTGCTGAAGATAGCACCACCTGCCGTGTGCCAATCCATTGTCCAGCTCTTTGAGGATGACATGGTGGAGGTGTGGAGACGCTCAGTGCTGAGCCCATCTGAGGCCTGCGGCCTGCTCCTGGGCTCCACCTGTGGGCACTGGGACATTTTCTCATCTTGGAACATCTCTTTGCCTACTGTGCCGAAGCCGCCCCCCAAACCCCCTAGCCCCCCAGCCCCAGGTGCCCCTGTCAGCCGCGTCCTCTTCCTCACTGACCTGCACTGGGATCATGACTACCTGGAGGGCATGGACCCTGACTGTGCCGACCCACTGTGTTGCCGCCAGGGTTCTGGCCTGCCGCCTGCATCCCGGCCAGGTGCTGGATACTGGGGGGAATACAGCAAGTGTGACCTGCCCCTGAGGACCCTGGAAAGCCTGTTGAGTGGGCTGGGCCCAGCCGGCCCTTTTGATATGGTATACTGGACAGGAGACATCCCTGCACATGATGTCTGGCACCAGACTCGTCAGGACCAGCTGCGGGCCCTGACCACTGTCACAGCACTTGTGAGGAAGTTCCTGGGGCCAGTGCCAGTGTACCCTGCTGTGGGCAACCACGAGAGCACACCCGTCAATAGCTTCCCTCCCCCCTTCATTGAGGGCAACCACTCCTCCCGCTGGCTCTACGAAGCGATGGCCAAGGCTTGGGAGCCCTGGCTGCCTGCTGAAGCCCTGCGCACCCTCAGGTACTTATCATCCATGGAAACCCAGGAAGGGAAAAAAAGGTGAATGAAAGTAAAGGGAGAAGGGAACCTGGGGCATTGTCTCTGATTGCTCTAGCATGAGTCCTTAGTGCTCTTCACTCGGCTCCCCTAATCTGACTCCACCTTCCCTTTCTACTCTTTTGCCACACCAGGCTATTTTTTTTTTTTTTAATAGTTTAGTTTTTGTAGAGACAAGATCTTGCTATGTTGCCCAGGCTGGTCTCAAACACCTAACCTCAAGCAATCCTCCCGCCTCGGCCTCCCAAAGTGCTGGGACTACAGACGTCAGCTACTGCTCTCGGCCCTCCTTTTTTTGGGGGGGGGGGGAGCAGGGATGGAGTCTTGCTCTGTCACCCACGCTGGAGTGCAGTGGCACGATCTCAACTCACTACAGCCTCCACCTCCCAGGTTCAAGCAATTCTACTGCCTCAGCCTCCCAAGTACCTGAGACTACAGGTGCATGCCACCACGCCCTAATTTTCATATTTTTAGTAGAGATGGGGTTTCACCATGTTGGCCAGGATGGTTGTGATCTCCTGACCTCGTGATCTGCCCACCTCAGCCTCCCAAAGTGCTGGGATTACAGGCGTGAACCACCGCACCCAGCCTTCTAGCCCTCCCTTTCTACTCTTGTCTCCAGCCACCCTCCTTCAAAGGTCTGGCAGCATAACCTCTCCATGCCTCAGCTGCGTCTTTGCTCATGTTGGCCCTCTGGAATTGATTTCCCCTTTTTTAACTGCTGCAATTTTTCTCACCTTATCCATCTCATGTCATCTTCCCTCTGTGTGGCCCTTGCTTCCCATTCTAGCTCACTCTTATCCCTCCACCATACTCCTGGAGTCCTCTGCCCTCGGAGCCTTTCTTTTGTGTCACACAGACCCAATAATTAGAACTGTTTGGTCTCCAGCTAGACTGTGAGCTCTTTGCAGGTGGGGAAGATGTCATGTATGCTTTTACCCTCCAACCAAATGCCCAGCACAGGAGGAACAGGATTGGAACAAGTGTTGACCTCTCATGTTTACTTTGTTTCAGAATTGGGGGGTTCTATGCTCTTTCCCCATACCCCGGTCTCCGCCTCATCTCTCTCAATATGAATTTTTGTTCCCGTGAGAACTTCTGGCTCTTGATCAACTCCACGGATCCTGCAGGACAGCTCCAGTGGCTGGTGGGGGAGCTCCAGGCTGCTGAGGATCGAGGAGACAAAGTGAGGGGGAGTGGTGGGAACACAGTGGTGCTGGGGAACAAGCAGGCTTCTGTCGAGCTGGAGCACCTCTGGGCAGAGAAGTTTGATTTTCCTGGCATTCCCAACAAGTGTTCCCTGGGGGTTCAGCTCATGGTCACTGTTGAAAGCCTTCATTCAGTCCCCCTCTCTAGCCAGGGCTGCCTGGACCCCTGGATGCCCTGATTACCATCCTTAACTCTCCCTGCTAGGTGCATATAATTGGCCACATTCCCCCAGGGCACTGTCTGAAGAGCTGGAGCTGGAATTATTACCGAATTGTAGCCAGGTAGGAGGGAGATGAGGGTGGGAGTAGGGACAGGGTGAGTGTCTGAAGGCTGAAGATTCCCTTGAGCATCTCACCATCCCTGTTGTCCCATGGAGTGGGGAGACTCCTCACTAGAACAGATTGGAGAAAGAGGGCATCCTATCTCCCCAGATCTCTTCCTACCCCTCTCTAGAATCTTCTGAATGTAGTATTTTCTGGCCAGGTATGAGAACACCCTGGCTGCTCAGTTCTTTGGCCACACTCATGTGGATGAATTTGAGGTCTTCTATGATGAAGAGACTCTGAGCCGGCCGCTGGCTGTAGCCTTCCTGGCACCCAGTGCAACTACCTACATCGGCCTTAATCCTGGTGAGTGAGGCAGAAGGGAGCCTCCTTTATCCTGGAGTTGGTGGGATAGAGGAAGGAGGTTGGAGCCAGAGCCTGCAAAGCATGGGCAGGATGTGTGGCCCCCCCTGGAGTTGCCCTTGCTCCTTTCCCCTCCAGTCAGTCCCGCTTCCTTACAGGTTACCGTGTGTACCAAATAGATGGAAACTACTCCGGGAGCTCTCACGTAGTCTTGGACCATGAGACTTACATCCTGAATCTGACCCAGGCGAACACACCGGGAGCTATACCGCACTGGCAGCTTCTCTACAGGGCTCGAGAAACCTATGGGCTGCCCAACACACTGCCTACCGCTTGGCACAACCTGGTATATCGCATGCGGGGCGACATGCAACTCTTCCAGACCTTCTGGTTTCTCTACCATAAGGGCCACCCACCCTCAGAGCCCTGTGGCACGCCCTGCCGTCTGGCTACTCTTTGTGCCCAGCTCTCTGCCCGTGCTGACAGCCCTGCTCTGTGCCGCCACCTGATGCTAGATGGGAGCCTCCCAGAGGCCCAAAGCCTGTGGCCAAGGCCACTGTTTTGCTAGGGCCCCAGGGCCCACATTTGGAAAAGTTCTTGATGTAGGAAAGGATGAAAAAGCCCAAATGCTGCTGTGGTTCAACCAAGCAAGGTCATCCAGTGGAAGAACCAGTCCCTGGGCCCCAAGGATGCCGGGGAAACAGGACCTTATCCTTTCTTGGAGCTCGTTTAGCTGGATATGGGAGGGGGTTTGGCTGCCTGTGCCCAGGAGCTAAACTGCCTTGAGGCTGCTGTCCTTTCACAGCCATGGAATAGAGGCCTAAGTTGACACCGCCCTGGGCAGACAAGACAGGAGCTGTTGCCCCAGGCCTGTGCTGCCCAGCCAGGAACCCTGTACTGCTGCTGCGACCTGATCCCGCCAGTCTGTTAAAATAAAGATAAGAGACTTGAACTCTAGACCCCTGTGTGACTATACCAATTTCTTCCTTCAAGCAGGCAGGGCAAGGAGATCTTTGGGGCGAGATCATAACTGAGGCACAGGGTAATGGGGTTGATGGTGTGGTACGGGCATAGAAGGCACACAGCAGTGCAGACAGACTTTATTAGTGATATCAATACAGTAGAGGTGCCCATGGAGCAAAGGGAAGGGACCCATGCCTGGACCAGTCCCTTCCTCCTGCCCCTGCTGGGTCCCAGGAGTATGAGGCCTGGCCTGGGCCAGTTCCTCCTGTTCCACCTGAAACACATGGGGATGGAGAGCCAGGGCTGGCCTTGCTTCCTGCTCCTCTTGTTACCACACCAGTGTTATGACTTCCTTGAAGGGATTAGATCTCTCCCTCCCCAACTCCTAGGCAGGGAACCCTAGCTACTGGGGAGGGGCATATTTGGGAGGCCTGAGGCCTAGGAATAGCCTCTAGACCCCTACCTGACCCACACCCTTTAGTTCCCTGGGGCCCGACACAAGCAGGTGGAGGGAAGGCAGAGGCTTCTTCATGGGGTATGGGTCCCCAGCCGTTTGGGCTTCAGGGAGCCCCACAGCGACTGAACACCCCTGCGGACAGTCCACCCTACACGCCGTGCCACGGACTCAGCAGGGGGTGCTGGGAGGCAGGAAGTGGAGGCCTGGGAACGGGCATCCAGACACTTCTGGTAGCGAAGCTGCGGAGGCAAGCGGGGCAGTCACTCTCCAGCCTGCCTCACATGGGGCCACGCCACCACCACACCACCCTACTGGCTTACCATGCACGCAGCCTGCACAGCCTCTGAGAGGCTGGCAGCATTGGGCTCGCACCAAAACATGTGGCAGCAGAAGGAGGCCGGGCCGGCAGCCATGATGAATGCAAATGTGTGGACGTCTCTGCCCACGGCCAGGAAGGAGAGGAAACGCACCCGACACTCTCCCAGCACTGCCTCTGTCTGCATGGAGGGAACTCAGTTAAAAAGGAACACCACCCCACACTGTGTTCCACATCCATCTTAGCAGCTCTTCCCTTCACCCCGTCTCCCCTCCACGGCAAGGCAAAGCCACGACTTCTACCCCAGCTCTTTACCTGCTGGTGCAAGATGGTGAGAGTAGCAGGAGCCACACTGACATGACTTGGGGTCCACTGCTCACGGCTGCTGGAGGACAGGACTGACTCGAGGGCCCCATTAATCACATCTACCCCTAGAACATATGGACACAAGACACCACTGACGGTAGAGAGAGGATACCCCAGCTCTACCCTAGAACTCTAGCTCCACCCAGTCAAACCCAGGGCCTTTGCCCCATCCCCACTTTGCCAGCCTACATCTTGGACAATGCTGTCCAAGTATCCCTTCCCTGGGGCCCCTGGCCTCAGTAACTGGACATTTTCCTACTTTTTAAAATCTTGAATCCTAGGCTGGTTATTTTCACTGGCTCTGCCTATTCCTCCACACTTGTGAACTGACCGACCTCCCAGAGTTCTGACTTCCCCAAATTGTGCTCTCTCAGCGCTCATCACACTCAGACACCACATTGCTTCACACCACAATAACTCCCAAGTCAGCCCCTACAGGCCAGTCCTCTCCCAAGACCCCATTATTTTTTAAGATAATCTATTTGAGGAGTGATTACTCTGTATCACACTGTGCTAAGTCATCACAGTGTATTACCTCATTTGTGCCCGCACAACAACTTCACAACAGATTTCCATTTTACAAATAAGGAAACGGTAGAGATAGGCAACATGCCTTAGGTCACATCAAGGAATGGAGACCTGAGCTCAGGCAGTCTGATTCCAGAGCCTGGGTTCTTAGCCATGCCTTTCTCCTACCTCTTCTCTATATTACTAGTTTTCAGAACTACAAGGGCTTTCAAGATCTTAGGTTCTACTCAAGAATGTCTATAATGCGCTCAAGGGCCAAGGAACCCAAGGTTCCTGACTTTTAGATCAATCAGGTTTCCCTTATAATGCATGTTCTCCTCCACCTCAAACTGCTGTTAAACATTTCCCCTCATGGATCCCACTTTTGCTTGCACTCAGCAAAGCACCAAGGCAGGAGCACATGGTGTGGTGAAGGCATCAGTTCTAGTCCCCACACTTATAAGCTGCCCATGTGATCTACTGTCTCTGCACAAAGCCAGTGCAAAAGGCATATGCCTCTGTGGTCCACTCCCAGGCCCTCTGCCCCTTTTAGTGCCTCTCAGCTCCCACTAGGAGCAGACCATGTGGACTCCTTGTGGGCAGAGGACAAATGTCTTCCTTGAATGTCTTCTCCCATCTTGGCCTTGCTCATCTTACTTCTGGCTGGAGCAAGGCCAAACTGCTCCCAAAAGCATGCGAGTCTTCCAAAAACTGGCCTCCCCAGAGCTGTCAAGCCTCATATTTTACTGCTCCCTGAGTTTCAGATGATTTGTGTAGCATTATTATTAACAACCAATCTTGGCAAATGGCCTCCAAGGCAGATGGGGAATACAAAACAAGAGACAAGAATGTCCTTGAGGGACACAGACTGCAACTGAGGGAAAAGCCTCTGTCTTGAGTACCCTTTCCCCGCTGGACTGAGAAACTCCAGACTGTCATCCTTCAGGGCTCCGACTAGGTGTTCTCTAGGAAGCCATCCCTGCTGCAGGGCAGGGAGAAGACAACTCTGAGACAACTCTTACCACAACATCTTGTAACTGCTGGCAAACTTTTTTCCACACTGGCTTTGGCCATCTCAAGAACAGAAATGGAATTTAATTAATCCCTCTGTCCCCAATTCTAACACAGCGCTTATCTGCTGAAGAAATTCCAGATGCATGAGCAAGTCACTCTCAAGGCAACATGAGCAAATGCACCCAAACTGGTAAAACCAAGTGTCACACAAGTGGATGGGCCAGGTCATATTGCAGAGCGCTTCAAAAGCCAGGCAGAGGGGTGTGATGTTTATGACATTTAGGCCAGGGCAACTGGAAATCTCAAAGTTCAGTTGTGTGAAAGGGACATCAAAGTCAAACTGCTGAGTAAATGGGGCTGTGGGAAGTGGAGCCCGGCCTCAGAGTCTTAGGAGGTTTGGCAGGGAAGCAGTGAAAGCAGTGGAGCAAGGTATGGAAAAAGGCGGTCAGATTTGATAGCAACTCAGGACTGAAACCTACACCGTGACCTTGACCTCCAGCCCCACATGCAATCCCCCTTATCTGCTGTGCTTTTCTTTTTTCTTTTCTTTTTTTTTGTATCAGTTGTTGCCTTCTAATATACTCCATGGTTTACTCATTTTATTGTCTGTCTCTCCTTGCTAGAATGTAAGCTAAATAAAAGCAGGGATCTTTGTCACTTTTGTTCATCAATATATGGCAAGAAGCCAGAATAGTGCCTGACACACATCAGGCACTCATTACCACTTGTTGAATGAATGAATGATTAATGAATGAATACTGCAGCTTCTGGAGGGGCTAATGTTAAAAAAGGAGGTTACAAAGGAGCATAAGATAAAGCAGGAAGTAAGTTTAGAGGCCACTTGTCCAAAAGTGTGGAGCTGATGGAGCAGTCAAGGGTCACAGGCAGTTGATCTGGCATAGGGAGGACCTGAGTCAAGTGGTAGATGCAAAGAATCACATATGGAAATGGGGGTAACAACCGGCAGAGTCAACAAGGGTTTAGAAGTTGAGGATGAGAAGGAGGAAAGCAAAGGCATAAGGGTCAGCATGCTTTTCTCAACTCTAGCTCCAAGTCTTTGGCAGTGCCGCTGAATCCAAATGAAATATCCACTCCACTCTGCAAATCCGAGACTTCTTTCAAAACCTCAGTTCAATCCCCACCTTTTCTAAGAAGGGTCCCCTCTTTCAATGTAAGATTTTGGACATGAAAGTCAGCACGGTATGAGGGAAAGTGCAGAGAATTAAAGATGACCGGGGTTTGACTCCTAGGTCTAGCTTTCCTGGCCATGTAATCTGAAGCTAGTCTCATTTATTCATTAATTCATTTTTTTAATTCATTCATCAAAAATCTGTTGAGTTCCTCCTATGTGTCTTTTGACATGATACGCCACCACTTCTTCAAGTAGCCTCTTTTCTTCTTCCTGCCTCTCTCCTGTTGTCACTATCATTGGCAGTTTCATCCTCCACCCATCCACTGAATGTTGGAGGGCCTCAAGGCTATGACTAGCCTCATTTCCCTTCTCACTTCAGGATGCCGACTTTCCAGGGTCAAGCTACTCTACATCCATGGCTTTGATTACCTCTACAACCCAATAATGCCAAAACTTCTATCTCCAGCCCAGACCTCTCCTCCCAGCTCCAGATCTGTGAATCTAGCTGCCAACCTGACTTTGCCTCTCAGTTTCCCCAAAGGCACCTCAAACTCAGCATGTCCAAACGTTAGCTTACAATCTCCACACTCAAATTGGCCTCTTCTAACATCTGCCACCTTGAAAGAAAGAATCCACTATCCAGAAGGTCCAACAGCCAGGAACCTAGCAGTCACCCTTAATGCCCCTGTCCCTCACCCACACTGAAGCAATCACCGAGGCCTGTTGACTATACCTGTCTAAACAGCTCTGGAATCCACGCACTCCTCCTCAGCTCCATTGTTGTCCAAGAAACTCTCATTACTGGCCAGGACTACTGCAAGGGCCTCCTAACTGAGCTGCTCACATCCACCTCCACCCGCCTAACAGTCCCCTCCATGAAATAGCCAAAGTGAGCTTTCAAAATTCAAATCTGATTAAGGCAAGTGCACTCTTGGAGACTTCAATAACTCCTTGCTGCTCTTAGGATGAAGAAAAAATCATTAACATAATCCCTGAGATCCCTGACCTGGCAGCCTGGCCACTGCCCGGCTCTCAGCCTCATCTTGCATTGGCTTTCTTTCAGTACCTTGGAAGTGCCAAAGTGCCACCCACTGTAGATCCTGATCTTCCCCCATCCTACCCCCACCTCCATTCCACTTGACTGCATTCACTTCTATTCATTTTTTGGATTTCAGTTCAAATGTCACTTTCACAGGGAAGTCTTTTATGACCCCAGACTAGATGAAATTCCTCTGTTCTATCTTGCTGCTTTCTCTCAATGAATAACTCACAATCTGTGTGATTATTTTATTAATTCCTGGGTTTTTTCTACCACAACCTTCTATAACCTCTATGAAAATGGGACTGTGGCCACTGTTCTCCCAGCGCCTAGTCCAGAGCCTGCCACATGGTAAGCTTCAAAGGTATTTGTTAAGTGAATGAACAAATAAATAGCAGATACTATGACAGCACTGAAATATAAGAGTTAACCAGATCAGGCCAGGCACAGTGGCTCAAGCCTGTAATCCCAGCACTCTCAGAAGCCGAGGTGGGCGGATCACTTGAGGTCAGGAGTTCAAGACCAGCCCTGGCCAACACAGTGAAACCCTATCTCCACTAAACATACAAAAATTAACCAGGCCTGGTGGCGGGAGCCTGTAATTCCAGCTACTCAGGAGGCTGAGGCAGGAGAATTGCTTGAACCCGGGAGGCGGAGGTTGCAGTGAGCTGAGATCATGCCACTGCACTCCAGCCTGGGGGACAGAGCAAGACTTGTCTTTAAAAAAAAAAAAAATTATTTTCAACAATAACGTATGTGACAATTATGCTCACTGTTTCCTTCTCCTGATACTCCCAGCCCACAGCTCGTGCTGTAACACTTAACCCAGCTACAGGCTGCTGTCTGGTGTTTCCAGTCATCTAATAGCTGCCTCCCAATCCCACCAAAGCTTTTCCATGGGATGAAGGAGTGGGGTCTCCCTCTGTGCCTGGTTCAGCACCACTCACGTGGCTGATGCTCAGCGAAGGCATGCTGACTGCTGCTATAAGCAGGACAGTGAATATAGCTAGGACAGAAGTACAGGGAGGTGGGATGCATTTTAAAGGGTAGGGAGACATGAAGCATGAGGAAGGTCTGGTAGAAGTATTGGAAGGCAGAGGGTAGGGGCAGAGCTTTAGGATCAAGGTAGCAGCCCCTGGGTACAGAAGGACACACATACCAACAGGTTTAGCAACAGGTACATTCCCCAGGTAATAGACTTGGAACTTCTGGACCAACTCATTCTTAGGCGCTGGGAATTCCACTATGGGAAAGAACAGAAGGTTGATCATGGTAGCAGACCTTGCTCACCCCCAGTCCCCACCAGCAGGGCATAAGCTAGACACTTGCCCAGCCGAGGTCCTACTTCCATCTCGTCCCTTGCCTCCCTTTAACCGGAGTCCCTCCACTTATTGGAGTATTCAGTCTTCATGTGTTCATTTTTCTATCAGCGCTGTCCAGGAGCTCATGCCTTTCCTTGAGTCGCCCACCTTTGCCAACAAATCTGAGCTAGACCTGGAGGGGTTTTGACACTGACCTTGGAAAGGGACATCCACAAGTTTAGAGTGGTCCAGGGAGAGTCCATTTACCAAGCATCGGGCATTACGCCGTTCGGCCATGATCTGAGGAAGGAAGGGAGGCGAGGAGCCAGGGAGAATCTATTAGAGCCTCGTTGCCCTGGGGCCCCCCAACCCTACTCAGTAACCCCACCCACACCCTTGTAGAGTGAAGGTGGCAGCTAGTCCAGGGAGTGGAGGGGGCCGTGCCTTAGAGCAGATCTCATGCAGGCTGGTGGCGATGTTCTTGGCAGGTGCTTCACAGCGAAACACGTGGCACTTGAGCATCTGGGTCAGCTTATCACGAGCTACGTAGGCAAAGTCCCTGTTGGGGGAGGGGCACCTCAGTGTCTCCCAGTACCAACCAGTGCCAAGCCTGGTCCCCACCCCACCCACATCCTCCCCGCCTGTCACAGCTCCTCCAGGGCTTCTGCCCACAGCTGGTCCCCCACAGGTGCTGTCTTCTGGAGGGAGGGTAGAGAGGCAAGCATGCTGAGGTGGAAGGTAATGGTGGAGCATAGCGGGTTGGAAGGGGCAGGGCAGAAGAGGGGAGCTTGGGTGCTTCCAGGCATCTGGTCCAGGTGCAGGAGGGGGAAAATAGGCATAGTACCTCTCTCTGGGTCCAGCAGCACAAGAGAGGCAAAGAACAGAGTTAGAGAGGAGGACTCTGATGCTGGATGAACTCCCACCCTGGAATCCCAGGCCCTGTTCCCACCTTCCACTGTCCCGCCCAACGCCCCACACACGGATGCTGATGATGGGTTGGGCGTGCAGCAGTGCCTGGCTCTGTGGCTCCACTAGCTTTAGCGTCTCGTCCTCCAGCTGTAGTAGCAGATCCTTTCCCTGCAGGCCCAGAAGCAGGCACTCAGTGGGACTCCAGCCGGGATGGTAGCTGATCTCTGACTCCTGCAGCTCAGGGGATGTTAGCCACAGCTCTGGGGCCCCTGCTTTGGTGTCAGACCACCCGCCCTGCAGGCCTCACTGTAGTGGAGGTCACGTGGCATCTCTCACATCGACTCCACTGTTGTTAGGCTACCATCTCGCAAGGTCCTAGCCTGGGGTCACTCATCCATCCCACAGGGCTGCCACTTACGGAGGGCCAATATGCCCCTTTCCCAGCCTGCTTGTGGGCAGGTCAGACCTCCCATCTCTCATAATTCCCTTCACACTCTCTCATAGTACCACCCCTGCTGGCTCAGGTCCTTACTTCCCCCCAGCCCCCAGACATGGGGTCATGCAGGTTGTTTTTGTGGTAAGAGAGCTGACGGATGCAATTGTTGACTGCCACACTGCTGCGTCCAGGGGCCAGCTCCTCCTCGGTCATCTCTACCCAGCCTAGGGAGCGCACGGCGAAACACTGCCAGACACAGAAGAGGGGCAGGAGGCAGAGGATCGGAGTCAAAACTGGAGAGCCCTCAGCACAGGACACAGCAGAGTTCCTGAATACAGAGTATGGCAGGAGGCAGGGTGTTCTGAACTAAGACGGAGAAGCTCCCCAAACAGGATGTGGTTAGGGAGAGGGGGATGTGGTGAGGGTGAGGGAGATGTCATATGAGACCCTGGCTAGTACAAAAAAGCACCTGAACCAAGACTACGAGGGCCCCCAACCTGTCTGTTGGGCTGGTTGATTTAAAAATTGGAAGTGCCTCCAGCTCACTCACAGGGCTCTTTGCTGAGACTGGAAGAACTCCTAACTCAGGACCTGGGGGACTGCACTGAGACCCCTCAGAGCACAATATTAGGGGCTGTCCTACACACAAGAGGGCCCTGGTCTCAGAATGGGTGTCAGTCTTGAACAAACCTTGATCCCTGGGTTGGTATTCCGTGGGGGTAGCTTCTCCTCCTCTTGGGGCAATGGCTCTGGGCTGGAGGCAGATGGTAATACTTGGCACAGGGCCCCCATAAATGGAGCTGTCCCAAGGCCCCTTCCAGACAGATCCATCCCACTGCCAGCCCACTGCATCTGGCAGCTCACCTGAGGCTCTGAGCTGGGAAGGTCAATGTCCCCTCCTCAGGTTCCTTCAGTCCCAGCTCCATTGGGGCCTCATCACTGGGTTCATCCTTGGGAAGGGGATTGAGGAATCAGGATCAAAGTGATGCACCTCCTCCAGCTATCCCATAGTAAAGCAGGTCCCCCTACTCACCTTCCAAAACTCTCCATCCTCAAAGCCTTCTCCGTGAGCAAAACCTGTCCAGGTGAGCTAGGAGGAGGGAAGGGAGTAGTGAGCGAGTGTCCTATCCTACTCCAGCAGCACATACTCCCTCCCCTGGCCCAAAACCAACAAGCCTGTGAGCCTCACCTGGGACTCCTCTTGGGGGCTGCTCCCTTGTGAGGGGGAGGCCCGGCCGGGGGGTTCCCACTGGGTGGTCCCTGTTGGGATGTGCCAGTAATAGGTCCCTGAGGTGTCCTGGACCCTCATCCATCCAGCCGGCAGGTCGGAATCCGTCTCGAAGGCGTTAGGGTTCCAGAAGGAATCTGCCAGGTGGGAGGCTTGGTGAGGGTCAGCCTTCCTAAAGAGCAGACAGTTGGTGCCTATGCCCGGTCCCCTCTGAGACCCCATGGTTGAGAAGGGGTGGAGGAAAAGCTATACCACAACACAATTCCTGCTTCTGCCTAGAGCCTGTAGTCTGGAGTCACCACATGTGGGGTCACCAGTAGGGGACATGGCTCAGGTCTCCTCCTGGGCCCTGTTGGTGGCTAATGTGGCCACACTGTGGAAAGGAGGAAGGCAGGGAAGGAGGAGGGAACGGAGCAAGGAAGGTTGGGTGACCCCAATTAACCTCCTTTCATACATATCTCTATCTCAGTGAACACAAAGGGGAACACTTTTTAGCTCCTGCACACATACATGTACACACAGACACACAACACAAACAAGCCCTACCACACACCTGTGCAGCCACAAACACCAGGGTATGCAACACAGAAAATGCCAGCACAGATGGCAGGTATCACACACAGGTGCACATGTACGTGCATGGGCAAACATACACACCAATCTTAGCCATACACTTATGCAGACACCACAGAGGCATGCACATGCAGCTAAACATATGAGCCCCTGCCACACAGGTGTGCAGATACCACACCACAGTGGCACCTAACACATGTGTGGGTACCATACATACAGGTGGACCCACACTCAGACACACAGCATACATCAAACCCTGCCAAATGTGTGCAGACACCACAGACGTTCACTTCCTGACCCTTGCTGCACACAGTTGCAAGCAAACATGTCATGCACATACACACATACCTCACATCTGTGTCATACACCCTTGTCTGCCGACAGAGCCACACCACTCCATCCCTGTAACCCGCTCATGCGTCCTCTAACTCTTCTTTCCCTGTCAGCCCCACCCCACATGATGCCCAACCTCGTGCTGCCCCTCACCTGGGCTGCTGTCCTGCAGGATGATGGCCAGGAAAAAGTCCTGGGAGAACGTGGCGCTCATTCCCGGCCCCTCCTGCCTCCACCCTCCCTCCTCAAAGCCCCTCCAGCCCAGCCAGCTGGGGCTCACAGCCTGGCGCTGGGCTGCAGAGAAAAACTCATCCCGCCCCCTTCTCACCAGGGCAGAGCGTCTGCCAGGCAAGATCCTCCCCCGCTTGAAGCTTGCTAGGGAGGGGCCAGGACCACCATGCTAGGGAATCTCCTTGAGGGGGTGGGGAAGGGAGGAGAAAGGGAGGTTCATGAGACCCCAGCCCCTCTGCTCACACCTCTTCTTCCTCACCCTGGCTCCTCTCCCCCAATCCTGAACCTCCATCCCACCCTCCAGTGGTTATCTCAGTGCCTAAGCCAAGCCCAGTCTTAGGGATACCAGGAGACTCAGCCCCTCAGGAATACCCCAGCTGCCTGGGGCCCTGCAGAGCCTATAGCTCTCAGCATAAATAGGGTGTGGTTTCAAGGCCTTCGGGGATCCTGCCCCTGTCCAGAACCTGCACAGCAGTTTGAACCCAAGGGTGGGCTTTGAGCTCCTGAACCCCAGCAAGCTTGAGGCTGGGCTTGGGGCTTCCCAGCACCACCCCCCACGCCTCACCTGCCAGGGCCCAGCTAGGCTGCAGCGTCTCCTCGGCAACCGCAGCACCAGGACCGGCTGGGAGCGCCCAGACTGCTGACGTGCTTCCCGTTACCAGGGAAACCAGGAATCCTGACTGGTCCAAGAGGCAGCACTAAGGGACAGGCAGTCCCAAGACCCCGGCTGCTGGGCAACCAGACACAGCAGGGCTGGAAGTGGGCGTGGTTACTCCAAGGTGGCTGCACACCTGATGAGTTATTCAGGCAGGGTGCTTCACCATCCTCAGCTTCCAAATGACGTGGGCCCACAGACACCCAAAGAGGAGTGGCTCCTGCCCATCCACCTTCTAGGCAGCCATCACCACCTCTCCCCGCCACCACTTCTCCCTAACTCACACCCTATGGAATAAGGTTTTCAATAGGCACCTGAAACTTAACTGAGGCTCAGGGAATACCTGCTGTTCCCCCAGAGACCCTCCATTGCCTCGGGACTCTCCTGCTAAAACCTTCCAGAAACACCACACCTAAGGCCTCCATGCCCTCCTCCACAGCCACAGTCTGCTTCAGGAGGGCTGGATACTTCTGGAATCTGGGGACCAGTTCACCATCTCCTGACTGAGTGACACACACCAATCCATCTGCCATCCCTGACAGCCTGCACCTTCCTGCTTCAAAGAGCTTCATCCTTCCGATCTGTCCTGGAAGGGCAGCTTCTCCCCGCTTGGCCATCTGGGAGGCCCTTCTGGAGCTTGGCACATCTCCCTCCAAGCACAGCCCACCCAGGCCTTTGCTTTCACATACATGCATTTATTCCAGAACGTACACCTTCACTCCTGCATCGATTCATGCAGACACTTACACATAAAATATATTAAATGTTCACACATCATTCCTTCCTTCATTCATTCATTCATCCACAAATGCCTTTAGTGGCAAAGCCAGGTGTACTCACTTGCTCAGGAATCAGTGATTGACTTAATGCTCTCCCCTTCTCTCCACCCCACATAACTAACATAGCCCAGGCTACTAGCATTTTTTTACCTGGATCATTGCAAAAACATCATTAACTGGTCTTTCTCTTCCTGTCTGGTCTCCTCCAATCTCAGCTGCACACTACAGCCCAAATGATTCTTCTGAGATGCTAAACTAATCAAGTAATTTTCCAACTTAATCCTCTTAATTGTTTTGCACTGCCCTCAGGATAAAGTCCAAATTCCTCCCCAGGTTTTATGTGTTGTCATGAACCCCTGTCTGCTTCTCAGCCTTACCTCTGGCCACTCCCCTTCTCTCTCTTGGCTTGGGACACGCCCCTTGTCCTCTCCCAGCCCACCTCCCTTTCTCTCAATTTTCACCTGGCTATCACCTACCTCTCCTTCAGACATCAGTATACAGGTCCCTTCTAAAACTGACCCATTGCCCTCTCCCCCACCACTCTCACAGGCAGGGTCGGGGCCCCTCCTGGACTTCCCCAGCCCCAGAGAGCTCATCGCACTGATCATAACCTCCTGTTTCTTTCTTTGTCTCCTCACCAGGCTGTGAAGGCCAGGAGGGCAAAAACATCTTTGCCTCACAGTATACATTTCCAGCATTTAGGACAAGGCCTGGAGCAGAGTATGAATTCAACACAGGTAGTAAAGTTTATTCATTTATCATTCATTTAATTCATGAATTCATGCATTTATGCATTCAATCCATAGCTCTATGAATATCCTACAATAGGAAGGAGAAAATAATTTTTGCTCAATTCTAGCCTCATTTCTGCAGAAGCACAAACCTTCTCTGCAGCCCTCTTGGTCACAGCAACACAGTCATAAAAGAGTAATCAGTGACTTGGCCCCTTTCCTGGGCTGGCCCCCACCTCTATCCTCAATTCACAAAGTCTCCACCAGTGCAAGATACTTGAGAATCCTCTCGCCCCTCCAACATCCTTGCTGAGGTCACTGCCCAGCAAACCCATCCCAGCTCTTCAGCAATACTATCCTCCTATTCCTAGAAGCTTCATAGGTTATTCATAGTTGCAGCCATCACAGTGACCATCCCAGGGGCAACTGAGCAACTAGGCCTCTATCTGGTCACTGACTCATACCTCCTAGTCTTGCAAACTTGCAACCTACAACCTGCAGACTGATGCAAGCCTCAGACAGATTGTGTGTGGCCTGCACCGTGCTTTTTAAAAAATAGAATTTGTCGTTAACATTTAGAAATTGGGCTATTTTACACCAATATCTAGTTTTCAGTTTCCCTTTAACTGGCTGCATTGAGACTACATTTTTCCTCACCCCAATACCACACGTAATCAGCTGGAGTGCAGGAGGGGCTGTTCCTTTTAAAAGGAGTTGAGGCAATGACTGCCAAAGGCCACTAACATCACGAAAAGAGAGGCAATCAGACTTTGCCTTTGGTAGAAGTATTTAAAATACCACCTATGAAATATTCTTGCAAAAGCAAAACACAAAAATGCTCAAATCTGAACCTGATCAAGGCTCTAGAACTACCAATTTACAGGAAATCCAGGGGAAGAGGAGCATGGTAAATACCACGACAGGAGAGAGTCTGAAAAATCCAGACCATAGAAAACCCAGGACAAACAACATGATTCTTCAGTTAAAAAACAAAAGCAAAACTGCAAGCAAAAAACAAATAGACAGGGGGAACTTGATCAAACGAAACTTTAAGAGATAGATCAGGCCAGACATGGTGGCTCACGCCTGTAAGCCTCGTGCTTTGGGAAGCCAAGGTAGGAGGATTGTTTGAGAACAGGAGCTCACAACCAGCCTGGGCAACATAGTGAGACACTGTCTCTACTTTTTTTTTTTTTTTTTTTTTTTTTGAGATGGAGTCTCACTCTTATTGCCCAGGCTGGAGTGTAATGGCTCAATCTCGGCTCACCACGACCTCCGCCTCCCATGTTCAAGTGACTCTCCTGCTTCGGCCTCCCGAGTAGCTGGGATTACAGGTGCCTGCCACCATGCCCAGCTAATTTTGTATTTTTAGTAGAGATGGGGTTTCACCATGTTGGCCAGGCTGGTACTCCTGGGCTCAAGCAATCCGCCCACCTGAGCCTTCCAAAGTGCTGGGATTACAGGTGTGAGCCACTGTGCCCAGCCTCAATCCAGCCTTTTTAAAAACATAAATATCAACTGGATATTTAATGATACTAAGAGATTATTAAATTTTTGTAGGTACATTGATATTATGGTGGGTTTTTCTTAAGAGTTTTATCTTTCAGGCCGGGCGCGGTGGCTCACGCCTGTAATCCCAGCACTTTGGGAGGCCGAGGCGGGCGGATCACAAGGTCAGGAGATCGAGACCATGGTGAAACCCCGTCTCTACTAAAAAATAGAAAAAAATTAGCCAGGCGCAGTGGCGGGCGCCTGTAGTCCCAGCTACTTGGGAGGCTGAGGCAGGAGAATGGCGTGAGCCCGGAAGGCGGAGCTTGCAGTGAACCGAGATTGCGCCACTGCACTCCAGCCTGGGCGACAGAGCGAGACTCCGTCTCAAAAAAAAAAAAAAAAAAAAAAAAAAAAGAGTTTTATCTTTCAGAAATGCAAAAGTAAACTTTGTTGTTGTTGTTGTTGTTGAAAAAGGGTCTCTGCCATCCAGGCTGGAGTGCAGTGGCACAACCATGGCTCACTGTAGCCTCGACTTTCTCGGGCTCGGGTGATCCTCTCAGGTCAGTCACCTGAGGACCTGAGACCACAGCCGCTGATGCCACCACTCCCAGCTAACTTCTTTGTATTTTTTATAGAGGCGGGGTTTTGCCATGTTGCCCAGGCTGGTCCTGAACTCTTGGGCTTAAGCAATCTGACCATTTTAGCCTTCCAATATGCTGGGTTACAGGTGTGAGCCACTGCACCCAGCTGTAAACATTTATAAATAAAAGTATTTGCTTCAGAATAACCTACGCTGGGCCTAGGAATGGAAGACAGCATGTAGGTAGCAAGATGAGTTATGTATTGATAATTGGTAAAACTGGGTCATGGGTAAATCAGGCTCATTATTCTTTTCTCTCTACTTTTGTATATGTTTGAAAATGTCCAGAATGAGTTTTTCGAACGGGGATGGTGTGCAGCCCCTAGGCTCATTTGAACTGCATGTTCTCTACAAAGATTGCACAGTTTGGGGTACGGGTATGGTGTCCGCTGCCTGGTGAGGATGGGGATCTTTCCTAATCTTTCTTAGACCCCCATCTACAGAACTCCAGGGTTGTGACTATAGCCCATTATCTCCATCCTTTGTTCCTCAGCTTTTCCTGTATTCTCTACATGACATTAGAAAATGTGGAGACTCAGCTGATTTAAATGGGACATATTTAATTATTAAGCCCTGGAATCCTAGTATCTATTCTCCTCCCCCTACCCAAAGGGTTTTCTTTTCTAACTTTTAGTCAATATCCTACTCCTGACAGCAGCTCCCCACAGACGTGACCTGTTAAAACGGGGCAGACTGTCCCAAGTGCACCTAAGTGCACTGTGCACTGTGCTGTGGTGGCAGTGTAACACAGGGCCAAGAGCTCAGACCTGGACTCAGACCTGGTTTAGATCTCAGCTCTATTGTAATCTCAGCCTGTCTGTGGTCTTGAGAAAGCTACTAAACCTCTCTGGGTCTCTTTTTTGTTATCTGTAATATGGGGATAATCATAGTATTTACCTCACAGCTTTACTGTGAGGATAAAGCCTGAAAATGCTGAGTAGAGGGCCAGTTACCTAGTCAGTGCCCAGTAAACAAACTAGTCCACTTATCAACCATGGTGGCATGCATAATGAACAGATCCATCCATCCAGGCATGCATGATGGTCAGATCTACCAGAATGTCCAAGCACTCTCTGAACAAGAAAGCCTGGACATGGCCTGCTGTGGCCTCAGGACATGGGCTTTCAGCTCACATCAGGCTGGCACTGGCCTCTATATGAGAGGCCTAACCTCTGCCCTCACACCCTCCCACATGCCCATGTCAAGCTCCACAAGGTACCTGTGTCCTCTGGGGAGCCATAGGAGGGGCTGCCCTGGGATAAGGTAGCCCAGCTTGAGTCCTCGTCACTGGCTGCACTGTTCCGCATGCCAAACAGCAGGCTGGCACTCTTGCTGTGTTCCCGGGGGCCATCTGTAAGGGCTTGGGGCCTGGGAGGGGCCTCCACACTCTCCAGGGGCTCAGGCAGCCCTGGGGGAGAAGATAAGTCCTCCTCCTCCTCTTCATCATCATCCTCCTCCTCCTCCTCCTCAGCCTCCCCTGCCGCCTTCTCCTCTCCCTCATCTGGCCCCTGCTCTTGAGTGCTGATGATCAGGCCAGGTCCTCGTAGGCCTCGGTTGGCCGCGTTGTGGGCTGAGAGCTCCAGCTCAGAGTACAGGTGTATCAGGCCTTTGGGGCCCAAGGGTGCCATCTCAGGCTCCTGGCTGGCCTCCTCCGCCAAGGTCAAGGTCACATTGCGATTCTGGTCACGGTGGGCCGTGGCGGCCCGCCGGAGTTGGTTCTGGCCCTCTTTTAGCCACTTGGCATTGGCAGGGCCTGGTTCAGGCCCACCACCCTCCCCCATGGCGCTACGCAGGTCCTTGGGTCCCACAGCTGTGGCCTGCAGCTTGGCGTTGAGTAGCTGGTTATGGGCAGCGTGCAGAGGCAGGGGTAGGCTCAGTGTGGGGCCTCCGTGGCTGTTGGCATTAATGGCCGACTGGCTCAGTGATGATGGAACAGACATGGCCTTGGCAGCTCCTGTGGGGTGGGGAAGGGAGATGCTGTTGAGCCTCTAGTCCAGAACAGCAGCATCACTGCTTCTGCCCCAGGGCTATGCCCTGTGCCTCCTCATCTCCCTGCACTAAGCAGGCTAGCACCCATGGCTCTCTATCCTATGAGAATGACTGGGCTCATCTTCTGTCCCAGCACTATCGTCCCCATCACAGGCCAGGCCCAGGTCTGAGGCTCACCCCATCCCTATATCCCCTGCCCTGAGCTTTCTGGGATGGCACAGCTGGTGCCTGCTCCGCCCTCGATCCCACCAGCAGGGCCTCCACACAATGGCTCTCTGTGTCTCCCCACCCCCCAGCTCATCCACCCGGGGCTTACTGTGCCAGGAACACCACTAGAGTGGGACTGGCTCGTGTGTTTTGGACACTGATCATTGACTGCCCCTCTCCTGCTGCACTTCCATCCCAAGCCCCACCACTGTAAGCTCCTCCGGCTGTGTTCCTATTCCCATAAGTCACTCAGCTCAACCAGCCCCCAAGCCCACCCCATACTAGGGACTGTGAGGACAGGAGGAAATAAGCTGCAGAACCAGCCCTACAGGGCATGGCACAGGAAGGCAGGTCACAGAGGGAGGGTGCTCGGCTGCAATTCACGGCTCCGCTGGCCAGATGAAGCTACATCTTGGTGACAATTTCCATGAAGTAGCTCCCCTTGGGCACCGGTCCCTCTACCAGCCCTTATAATGCCCTGTCCTGGATCGCTATGGGAGCCTTTCCCCTGGGCCCTTCAGCCTTTCAGATCTTTGCTTTTTGGGGTTTTTGTTTGTTTTTGTTTTTGAGATGGAGTCTTGCTTTTGTCAACCAGGCTGGAGTGCAATGGCAGGATCTCAGCTCACTGCAACCTCTGCCTCCCGGGTTCACGTGATTCTCCTGCCTCAGCCTCCTGAGTAGCTGTGATTACAGGTGCCGACCACCACGCCCAGCTAATTTTTGTATTTTCAGTAGAGATGGGGTTTCACCATGTTGGTCAGGCTGATCTCAAACTCTGACCTCGTGATCTGCCCACCTCGGCCTCCCAAAGTGCTGGGATTACAGGCGTGCGCCACTGCGCCCGGCCCAGCCTTTCAGATCTTTGACCAAATGTCACAGCCTCAGTGAAGCCTTCCCTGAACACCCATTTTAAAACCACAGGCTACCTCAGTCCCTCCTCAGCAATCCCTAACTCTTCCCCAGCGCCTGTCACCATCTGATAAGCCAATTTGTTATTTACTTTGTCTAATGATTGTCTCCTCAAGACTACAATTTATAATCTCCGTGTTGGTGAGGATTTTGCCTTTTTGGTTAAATACAGTATGCCTAGTGCCTAGCGTAGTCTTAGCACAGAGCAGGACCTCCACTAATATTTGTCGAATGAATGTATGAATCAGTCCCCATTTCCTCCAGGCTTCGCTTTGGCCTCTCCTCTGCCAGTGTCAGAAAACACTTTGGTTATGTTACTGAGCCTCATGGTGCCCCACACAAACTCCACCTGCCTTTCAGGGAAGTGGACGTCCTGTTCCACAAGGCCAGCTCCCCTCCCGACACCTCCCTCTGCCTCCTCACAGCCCTTTGTGGCTCAGCTTCTCGCAACCGTTTGAGTCCCAACTATCCTTCCAGCCCGCCGCCCAGGGACCCACCCTTGGCCCCATTCCATCCTCCCCACTCTCCCTGACCTTCCAGCTGCTCTGCTGCTCTCCTTCCCGGACCCCCACAAGAAAGTGCTCTCTCCCTGGAACCTCACCAGCCCCCGATTTCAGTTATTTCTCCCTGACCAACCACTGCCCACTTCTCTCTCATCCTGAGCCCTCCATGCAAGCCGTCCTTCAGACAGCCCCCACCACATTACTCTCTCCTTCCTCGATGGCCTCACTGAGTCTCTCTTCCTACCCGACCCTTCCACCAACACACAATTCTCCCTCACTGACTGTCCCAACAAACACTGCACTGCGCTCTTTCTAATTCCCACTGTACAGACCTTTCTCCTTGATGTCTTATCTGAGAGTTCCCTATCTCCCTGTTCCTCCACTAAGGAGTTCTTTCTTTCCCCGACTCCCCACTACCTCCCTTCCCTCTGTGTCCTCAGCACTGAGCAGAGGTGTTGCAGCTGCCTGAGCAAGGCTTGCCCATCTCTCCAGGCGCAGTGTGCCCAGGCTGGAGTGCAATGGCATGGTCTTGGCTCACTGCAACCTCTGCCTCCTGGGTTCAAGTGATTCTCCTGCCTCAGCCTCCTGGGTAGCTGGGATTACAGGTGCCCACCACCACGCCCAGCTAATTTCTGTATTTTATTTATTTATTTATTTTTTTGGAGAGAGAGGGTTTCACCATGTTGGCCAGGCTGGTCTCGAACTCCTGACCTCAGGTGATCCACCCACCTCAGTCTCCCAAAGTGCTAGGATTACAGGCTTGCGACACTAAGCCCAGCCCCATAGCTCACCTTTCTATGTCTCTAGTTCCTCAGACCCTAGTGTGATGCTGCCCATACATCTGTAAAATGAAAAAGGTTTATGTGCATGTGTCTGCCTCACGTGTAGCTGTTGATCTGCTCAGTGTGACTCCTCCTGGCCAATGAGAAAACTCATGGCCACTGGAATAAATGAAGAAAAAAATAGACAGCTCTGCCTCCTCCCAGAACCACAGTAATCTTCCAAAAATGGAAACCAGATTGTGTCACTCCCTGGTTCAGAAAATTAGAGGGCTCACCACTGCCTTTCGGATAATGTCTGCACTCGTTAGCAGAACACCCAAGAGCCCCCTTGAGCCAACCTCTATAACCTGTCAGACCTCTCCCCACCTCCCACCTCCTTTATACCTTATACTCCAGCCACAAGCAGTGTGGCAGATTCTGGAACATGTCGCACACTCTTAAAGCCCTGGGTCTTTGTTTATACTGCTCCCTCGGCCTGGAATTCTGTCTCCCCTTGTGAGAACCTCTGCTTGTATTTCAAAACTAACCTCAGCAGTCACAGCTCCTAAGCAGTCTTTCCTGTTCTCTCCCCACCATCAAGTGACTATTCTCTCCTTCGTGTCTCACAACATCCAGGACCACATTCGATCAGAATATCTGAGATGGTGTCTTATTCTATTTCACATTCCCATTATCAAAGAGAGTGCGCCGTGTGCCGCCACAGACTGGGCTGTCGCGCAGAAGGACCGAAAGGATGAATGGGACAGACACAGGGGCTGGGAGGATCTAGGAAGCTCAGAACTGGCTGGGAATAAATACCTAGAAAGGCTGTGGGGCCCAGTGGGCTGGTGAGGAGCAAAGGGAGCATTTGGGAGGGTGTCAGATAATGCCAAAGGGTCCCTGAGAGGGAAGTAAGATGGGACAGGAATCCCGGAGAGGTGAGGGCTGAGATCTAGGAAAAGGGAGTGAGGCAGGTAGCTTAAACTAACATCTTGGCTCAGACACTGTTCAAGAGTGGCATCTCCATGGGTTTCAGGAAGTAGAAGACTCCATGACTCTGCCATGCTCGGAGGACCTTAAGGATGGCAAACTCTTCTCTGAAGCAGTGGTGTACAGAGCCAGGTTTCTCAAAGGTCAGGCAGAGACTGACCTCCTTGGCATTAGGAGTTATGATCTGAAAAGGGTGTGTGCGCTGTAAGGCTGAAACAGTGAAGAGCCAAGTTGACTTCAGGGCAGCCCTGCCAATCTGGTCACCAGGCCGGGAAGTATTAGAGGAGGAACGGGGAAACTGTTTAAGTGCTGAAGCTTTAGCATCTAGCCTGAGGTGGTGTGGTCACCAACACCCCACTGCTCGAGGTCAAAAAGATGACCTCAGTCCAATTTTTTTAGAGAAGGAACACAACCTAATCTCTCCCCTCTCATTGGAGTTACCAAAGGATGCAAAGAGCCAAATGGGTTCTGGCTCAAGGCAGGGAGCTGGGCAGGGGCCTCAGGGCAGGAACTGAAAGAAGTAGCCACTAAGCCTGAAGATCCTGGTATCAGACCACAGGGGTTGGGGTTAAGTCTTGCTCCAAGTCAGGAGTTGTTCAATCTGACAGCTTACCATATGCCAGGCACTGTGCTAGACACAGGGGAGAGTGATGAATAAAAAAGAAATGGTTCTTCCTCTGGAGGAGTTCTCAGTTTAGGGGGAAACAGTCATTGAACAACTTGTTACAACGCAGTGTAACGCCAACATCTAGAACAGTGCCTGGCACCCATAGCATTCCCTATTTGTTGACTGAATATCACGGAGGAGGAAGAGGAGGGCATTACAGGAACCTGGGGCTTGCTATAGCCAAGACATCAGCGAAGGCCTGCCTGAGACTAGGACATAACTCTCTGTGGGCCACCCCTCTCAGAGGATGATCTCCCCTCCCAATTCACAAAGGAAAGGGAAGCCATCCAACTGGGGAACATCCTCAAACATAAAAACCTAACCAAACTTCAGCACCTACCCCTTTCTTTCCTTCCCAAAACCAACTGCTTCACCTATCATTTGGATTCTTCCTATGATACCTTTCCAGGAATTTTATACCACTGTTTATCTATTTTCTCCTCTATATAATCAACCTCTCCTTCTCAATAGGATCCACTATCTCCCAACTTGACCTGACGCTCCTCCAGAGCCACTCACTGCTCTTTCCTCCCCCATACAGGCAAACTTCCTGATAGAATTGTCTCTACTCACTGTTGCTACTTCCTCACCTCCCACTCACTCCTCAACCCTTTCCAAACCTGCTTCCAGTCCCAACACGACTCAGAAACAGCTCCTACCAAGGTCAACATGACCCCTGTGTCATTCAATCCAACAGACACAGTCCTCATCTTGGTTGTCCTCCCAGCAGCATCTGACCCCATGAATCTCTCATCCAGCCTCTATCCGTGGCCTCCACACTCTCATCTCCGCACTCCTCATCTCATCTCATCTTTTACACTTCTTGTTACTGTTTGCTGGGTTCCTAGACTCCTCTGCTGGCTCATCTTCCTCTATTGGCCATTACATGCTGGAGTTTCTTATGGCTTATTCTCATGCCCTTTCCTCTTTCTTATCCTATAATCAGTATAAATATTCATTCATGCCCACAGGTTCAGTTATACACTGATGATTTCCCAATTCAAATCTCCATTTCAGACCCCTCACCTGAGCTCCAGACAAGTACATTAAACTTTCTACTCAACATCTCCACTTGGATGTCTCAAGCTAATATACCCACTCGTGTTTCCCACTCCCACACACTAACTGGTCCTCTTTCAGGATCCTGGCTCATGGAATGATACAATCCATCCTATTCTGTGAATCTGAAGTAGGGGTACATCTTGACATGTCCTTCTTCAGCACTTGCTATGTTCAGTCCATCCCTAAGTACTGATGATTGCCTCTCTGAGAAAAATTTCTGAACTGCATCAACTCTCCACATCCACTACAACCAAGGACAAAGACCTTAAGACAAAATTTTTTTTTTTTTTTTTTTTGAGGTGGAATCCTGCTGTGTCACCTAGGCTATAGTGCAGTGGCAAGATCTCAGTTCACTGCAAGCTCTGCCTCCCGGGTTCACGCCATTCTCCTGCCTCAGCCTCCTGAGTAGCTGGGACTACAGGCGCCCGCCACCGCGCCCCGCTAATTTTTTGTATTTTTAGTAGAGACGGGGTTTCACCGTGGTCTCGATCTCCTGACCTTGTGATCCGCCCGCCTTGGCCTCCCAAGGTGCTGGGATTACAGGCGTGAGCCACCGCACCCAGCCAAGACAAAATTCTTAAATGGCCTAAATTTCCTGCTCAGTCTGGCGCCTGCCTTCCTCCTCCCTGCCCCTGGCTTTGGTCACTCTGCTCTGCAGCCTCAGTAACCTTCTTCTGATTCCTGAAAGACGTCATGTGTTTTCCTTCTACAAGGTGTTTGCACATGATTTCCATGCTGCCTGGGACCTCTTCTCCTACTCTCTAAGCTGAATCAACTTCTACTCACCCACTATATTTTAGTTCAAACGTCACATTCTCAGAGAAGCTGACCTCGACCCTCTCTCCCTATCCTCGTGACCAGGTTAGCTGCTGCTCTTGTGCGTTCTCAAGGCACCATACTGCTTTTCTTCATGGTATATATTACATTCATAATGTTATTCTTATTTTTCTCCTAGATTGTCAGCTCCAAGGACTCAGTCTCTTTTGCTCACAGTTATATCTTCAGGACGTACGTAACACAGTGCCTGGCATATATTAGGTGCCCAAATCATATGTGTTGCATGAATAAGTGAGTGGAAGCATTTTTTAAAGGATCACTCTGGGTGCTGTGTTGAGAATAGTTAAAGGGAGGTAGGCAAGAGGGTATGCTATTAAAGTAGTCAAGGAAAAAAAAAAAGGTGGTGGCCCATATTAACTTTGGTGGCAGTGGGAAAAGAGTGAAATGAATGGATTTGAGAACTATTCAGGCAGTGGTGACAGAACTTGGTGAAATGAGATGCAGAGGGTGAGAGAGGGGTTAATCTCAAGTCTTGCTCATGACTCCACATTGGCAAATAGCCATTTCTGAGATATGAAGAAAGAACAGATTTGGAAGTAGGGTACAGAGAAAACCAGGGAAGATAATTTAGCTTGGAATCTATAGGTTTGGAATTCCTGTTTGTCTTTCAAGGAGATGTCAAGAGAGCAGCTGAATATATGAGTCTGGATTTCAGGAAAGAAGTCTGGGCTGGATATATAAATTTGAGAATCGTTAGCATATATATGAAATTTGAAGCTTTGGGAGTGAATAAAATATCTGGGGAGAAAGAACAGAGAATGAGAGAAGACAGCTCGGGACAGAGCCAAGAGCCTCACCAGCATCTAAAGAGAGTAGGAGAGGAAGCAAATGAGATTGAGAAGAGCAGACAATGCTGTAGGGCAGAAAGCAGGAAAACGCTTCTATGAGAGTGAGTGACATACCCCACCGAATACTACTCAAAGGTAAATGAGATAACAGTGTCTACTGGAGTTCTCCACAAGGAGGTCTCCGGTGACCTTGTCCTGGACAGTTTCAGTAGGTGTCAGGGACACAGAGTGGAGTGATTTTAAGAATGAATGGGAAGTAAGGAAGACAGCAAGCGTAGACTCTGAAGGGTGGAGAGAGCTGGGACTATAGCTGGAGGGGCTCAGAATGCAAGAGATACACAGGCGGATACAAAACAGGTTAGGAATTGGCAGTGGGAAAACTGCTCCTACTGAGTATTCCTGCCAGTGCTAGGCCTCCTGGCTGAGCTGTGGACACAGCCGCCCCAGGGCACACCCCTCGGTCGCCGAGGGCAACAGAATGCGGCTTGACAGATCCAGGGCCTGGGACCCCTGCTGGAATCGGCGCGGCCTGCCAGCCCACTCCACTCCACGTCCCCTTCCCGGCCCTGGGCCTCCCCTCCCCCAACCCCCACCGCCCCTGGTTTCTCGTCCTCCATACCCGCCCCTAGTCACCCTGAGGAGAAGGAGGTAAAGGGCAGCGGAGGGGGCAGTGTGAGGGCCCGAGTGGACCCTGCGATGGTGGGTATGAGGGGACGCTCAGCAGGCGCGCGGTGAGACGGCAGCCCGGGGATGGGGGATGGGGGATGGGGGATGGGGCCGGCCGGGGGACCCGGGCTGCCGTGGGGTAGGGGCTGCACGGTCCGCCGGCCGCTGGGGATGGGGACGCAGCGACCCGGGCTGGGCCGGGGCAGGGACAGCTCCTACCTGCGCGGCGAGGCCCGGGCCCAGATGACGAAGGTGGCTCAGGCTGCGGGGTTCGGGCTCCGCCGCGGCTTCTCCATCACAACATCCCCCGCCCAGGAACGCGCGGGCCGCGGGGCCGCGCCCCGAGCGGCGGAGGCGCGCGCGGGGGGAGGGGGAGGGGCGCCATCTTGGGGCGGGCGCGGCACTTGCCGCAGCTTCCTGGGGGCCTTACCCTGTAGGAGACCCTAGGACCTCGGCGAGCCCCGCGTTCCAGCCCTTCCAGCAGACATCCCTGCAGCCGATTTCCTGACCCCCGCCTAGCGCGGCGCCATCCTCCATTACGATTCCACAGACTCACCCTGCGCGCCCCGCAGGGCCCTGGCCCCGCACCCCCGCCGGGAGACGCGCAGACTGGGCTGGAGCCCGAATGGCGGTGGCGGTGGCGGTGCGGGGCCGCTGCCGCGCCGGGAGGGATTCCGGGGAGGCAGCCTGCTCCGCTCCTGCTGCACCGCTACCCGACGGCCTGGTGGGGAGGCTCTGAGGACACAGCGTTGCTGATAATAATAGCTCGTATTTATTGACCGCTTACGCCTTGCGGGTCTCGGTGTTAAACCGTTGACGCGCATTAATCTTCACATCAGCCCTGTAAAATCACCAGAATTATTATCCTCATTTTTCAGAGACTGATGCTAAGATTAAGACAGGTAAAGCGACTTGCCCGCAGTCACAATTAGTGATGAATTTGGACTGTAACTCCGATGTTTCTTGACACTGAAATACCTCTGCTGCTGAACGTAAAGCTGATATCAAGGCCTGGAAAATATCAAGAATACATTGCTCCCCCGTAGAAATTCACAAGGAAGGGGATATTGTGAATGAAAAGTGTAAAGATGTAAGGAAAGATGGTGGGGTACTATATTTACTACAGGCCCTCCCTGGATAGTGGGATACATCCCAGTGGTCAGATCAGTGACCCAGAGGCCATCGAGGATAATGAGAGGTTATATTACCATCCAGAAAGCCCTACATGCTAATCCCTCTAAGGTGCCTAAAACTAAAGATGTCCAAATCTGAGTTCGTTCTTTCTTTTTCTTTCTTTCGAGGCAGGGTCTCACTCTATCACCCAGTGGCAAGATCATGGCTCTCTGAAGCCTCAACCTCCAGGGTTCAGGTGATCCTCCCACCTCAGCCCCCAGAGTACGTGGACCACAGGCATGTGCCACTGCGCCTGGCTTTTTGTATTTTAGTAGAGATGGGGGTCTCACTATGTTCCCCAGGCTGGTGTGGAACTCCTGTGCTCAAGTGATCCTCCCACCTCGGCCTCCCAAAATGCTGAGTTTACAGGCGTCAGACACCGTACCTAGCCTGAATTCATTGTTTCATCCCCCTTCATTAGTCTTCTAAGGAGTTTCACTGGGGTGTAAAAGAACCCTCTTCAACACACACACACACGACACAACACACATCCCACGCTGGACACAGCTCCATTCCATCCATTCCAATGAATGACACCAACTACTGGTGGCTTCCCAAGCCGGAAGCTTCAAAGTAATCTTTGAATATACTTTTATTTTACTTGAGGTAAATATAAATGTTTTAACTTTTTATTCTGGAAAATTTCCAATGTATACTAAAGTAGACAGAACAATATAATGAACCCTCATATACCTATCGTTCAGTTTCAACAATTATCAACTCACAGCCAATAGTTTATAATGATTTGACAAATGCCTATGATATATGAACTGTGTATCAGGTCCCAAGCCAGGCGCTAGGGATCCAAAGACGAATCAGATTTGACTGCATCTCACCTGGAGGAGATGACATCTGACCTGAGTTGTTGTAAGACGAAGAATTACCCAGAAAAACAAAGTGTCTTCATTCATTCATTCATTTTCTTCCAGCAAATAATTACTATGTGTGAGGTACTGTCCTTGGTGCTAGCAACTGGTCAAGAAACAAGATAGTTCCGTCTCTCATATAGCTTGAAATTTAACAGGGGAAAGAGACATTAAACATGTAATTAGGAATGTGATGAGTATCTTGAAGGAGATGTACAGGGAGCTATGTGAGTGAGTTTAATTTGGCCTGGGAAGTTTAGGAGGCTTTCATAGGAAGTGACAATTCAGTGAGGGAAAGGGATGAAGGGTCAGCCAGGAGAAAAGTATTCCAAGTAGCAGAAGTACAGGAAGGTCAGTATGGGTGTTGATATAGTTTGGATATTTGCCCCTGATCAAATCTCATGTTGAATTATAATCCCCAGTGCTGGAGGTGGGGCCTGGTGGGAGGTGTTCGGGTCATAGGGGCAGACCACTCATGGCTTGGTGCTGTCTTCCCCATGATGAGTGAGTTCCTGTGAGATCTGTTATCTAAAAGTGTGTGGCATGTCCGGGCGCGGTGGCTCAGGCCTGTAATCCCAGAACTTTGGGAGGCCAAGGAGGGCGGATCAACTGAGGTCAGGAGTTCGAGACCATCCTGGTCAACATGGTGAAACCCCATCTCTACTAAGAACACAAAAAAATTAGCCAGGCATGGTGGCGGGCATCTGTAGTCCCAGCTACTTGGGAGGCTGAGGCAGGAGAATTACTTTAACCCAGGAGGTGGAGGCTACAGTGAACTGAGATCACACCACTGCACTCCAGTCTGGGCATCTCAAATAAATGAATAGTGTATGGCACCTCTACCCTCACACTTTGTTGCTTCTGATCAGCCCATGTGGGATGCCTGTTCCCACTTTGCTTTCTGCCATGAGTAAAAACTCCCCTGGAAGCCGAGCAGATGCTGGTGCCATGTTTCCTGTATAACCTGCAGAACTGTGAGCTGATTAAACCTCTTTTCTTTATAAATTACCCAGTCTCAGGTATTTCTTTATAGCAACACAAGAACAGCCTAATGCAGGTGTGATAGTGGAGAATGGCGTAAGATGAAATAGGAAGGTGGGAAAGTACCAGATCAAGGAGGGCCTTGTATGCTGGGCTAAGGGTTTGACCTTTATTTTAAGGGCAACGGAAAATCATGGAAGGGTTTGAAGCAGGAGAGGGGCATGTTCACACTCGCATTTTAGAAGATCGCTTTCAGCTCCTGAGGAAGAATAGATAGGAGGAAAGCAAAATTGAAAGAATGTAGACCAGTTAGGAAGCAAGAGACCAGGTTAAAGATGATGGTGGCTTAGACTCTAGTGGTGGGACTAGGGATGGAGAAAATTGCATAGGTTTAATAAATATTCAAGAGGTAGAATTCCCAGAAATCAGTGATCAATTGGTTGATTAGCTATGGAATGGTAGAGAAAAAAATGATATCCAGATTTATTTTTGATAAAATTAAAAAAATCCAGAAGTATCACCCGTTTACAGATAGCATGCCAAAATATTTGTCTTCCCAATCTCATTGAGCAGGAAGGCTGCAGTATTCAGGGAAATCTCTTCAGATAAGAAGGACACAGATTGCATGATGAGGTTGAAGGGAGGAGTCTAATTAGCTAGGGATGCCCATGTGCAGTTCACATGGGCATCTTCTTCCTTACGTATTTGACCCACAGGCAGTCTTACTGAATTCTTGATCTCCTCTGAGGTCTGCAAAGTCTCCTGACCAATGGGGAATCAACCTGTGCCTTTCACCCATCCTTTCTCTACTATAATCTCTTCCCTCTTCTGATGCTTTCTATGGTGTGGGAGCAACCAATGAATAGCCTGTGAGCCACTTCAGATGCTGCATATAGTTCTGACCAATGTGGGTTCCTCTGAGGCAGCAGTTTTGAAAATTATTACTTTGGACCTATCAGGAAAAAATTGAATTATAAGCAAATCCATCTAGAGTCACTTACCAAGAGTAGTGGCTTTATGCTATTTGGTTTGGTAGTCTAGCTAATTAGCATTACGAGACAGTTGGCACCCAAGTCACCTATATGAAAGTATAGAGCTTTCATCTCTATTAAAAGTAAAGACACTTCTGGAATGAAGGCAGCGTTATCCTCCACTATATATAAATACTGCTTTGGTATTGTAATTTTTCTTATGATTGATCTGACACACCTCTTTTCTTCTTGATGGTGGTTTTCATTTGGAACATGTATAAGGAATAAAGTCTTCCCACATACTACATGAAGTGGAATTCCTCAGTCAAATTCAAGACCTGGCAAAAATTTTCTCAATCCAATACCCTTCTTCATCAGAATTATTCTTTTGTTTGTTTGTTATGAAGAGATGGAGGTCTCACTGTGTTGCCCCAGCAGGTCAGGAACTCCTGCACTCAAGCAATCCTCCCACTGTGGTCTCACAAAGTGCTGGGATTACAGGGGTGAGCAACCAAGCCTGGTTAAACAGGACTATTCCAACAACTACCTAGAAGAGTATAGAGTGAGAAGAGAAAAGGACTGAGAACTGAATTCTGGAATGCCAGTGTTTGGGAGCCAGCACTGAAAAAGACAGTCAAAAAGAAACCTGAGAATTAGCAGAAGGGTAAAAGAAGAATCAGGAAAGAGTAATGTCATGGGAGAAATCCAAGAGAGGAAAGACTTTCAAGGGTGAAGAAGTGGTCAACAACATCAAATGCAGAAAATATTTCCAATAAGGTCAAGGCAAAAAAAAAAAAGGTATCCTTTGAATTTGGCAACATGGAGGTTATGAATCCCCATGATTTGATCTGTATTAGCAGAAAATGGAGGCAGAAGCCACAATGCAATGAATTGAGCAAATGGAAAATGAGGAAGTAGAACAAATAAGTGCAGAGCCCCCTTTTGAGAAATTTGGAAGAAAGAATAGACAGTACTTGCAAAGGGATGTGAGATTCTCCTACATGAATCCTTGAAACAAAAAAAAGATTCAGTTTTTGCAGTGTGGAGGTTCCTCAAAAAACTAAAAATAGAGCTACTATATGATCCAGCAATCCCACTGGTGGGTATATATCCAAAGGAACTGAAATCAGTATGTTGAAGGGATATCTGCATGCTCATGTTTATTGTAACATTATTTACAATATCCAAGACATGGTATCAACTTAAGTGTCCATCAATGGATGAATGGATAAAGAAAATGTGATTATAGACACAATGGAAAAGTGGGGATATCCTGTATTTGTGACAACATGGATAAACTTGGAGGACACTATATTAAATGAAATAATCTAGACACAGAAAGACAAATGCTACATGATCTCATTTATATGTGGAATCTAATGAAGTTGAACTCATAGAAGTAGACAGTAGAATGGTGGTTGCCAGGGTGTGGGGGTGTGGGAGGGGCAGGGGTGGAAGGGAATGGAGAGTTGTTGATTAAAGGGTACAATGTTCCAGGTAGACAGGAGGAATAAGTTTCGAGATCTATTGAACAACAAAAAGGCTAAAGTCAATAGCAATGTATTGTATATTTCAAA